CGCCGCGTTTGGACGCCGCGGCTGATCGCTGCAGAGAAAACGTACCTACCTTTACAACATCATTCTTGTTGTTACGCCTAATCATACAATAAATATGTGATTGTGATAAGAGAATAATAAATTATATTTTAATTTTTTTTTATGTATAACATCAATTTTTTTATTTTATATAATACGAATATTGAATTTATGATGGCTAATATATTTTTAAGATATTTATTCAATAAATTTGTAAGTAGTTTGTTTTTCGGACATGATTTTATTAATGCATTATTATTTAACATCATTGACAATTAATGTTAATATATACAATGAATATGAATTATTTACCTTCTATAAGACAATTTAATAAAATATATACATAATAATATTTATAAATTACATAAAATTTGCAATTTTCTATTTTTCATGCGAGGTATTTGCAAATTACGGTTAGTTCTGGTCAAAGTAGTATAAATTCTAAATCTTATATATAAGTTTAACAAATAGTCATGGGGGAATTGTTCACAGGGATGTTCAAAGTATACATTTAACATTAAAGTTTTAAGTTTTTGCCCAACTTTTGGTGATGGTGCTAAAGTAGGAAATTGGTTTGTAAATATAATGTCTAATTCAAAAATATATTGGTAAAAATTACAATCTGGAGTCATTAATGATGAAAACATAGATATAGAGCTGTGTTGATGTGATTTGAAGTGTGTGAAAAAAAGTTCATCAGATAACTTTGTGGTAGTTCTGCCATATCTTATGCACGTTTCACAAGAATGCATGTTATAACACTTCATTATTAAATAACCACATATATATGTAAAAGCATTTCTTTCTGGCAATTCTAATGATCTGTAATTGGTTGCATCAATGGGTAATGGATTAATTTGAATTACCTTTTGGTTTTCAGGGAATACTGTTTTTAAATCTTCAGCTGGTATTTTATTTAAATTACTCAGTACTTGGTCTATGTCTTCCAAACAATTTGCACTTTCATTATATTCAAAATAACTTAATGAAAATAATTTTTTGAAGGTACGCTGTAACTGAATAGTTGTGGGGTTTATACAGTTACTATTCTGAATTCGCATAGTACCAAATAAATTTTCTAAACAATCTTGGTTCAATCTCTTCATCATATTCTTTTGATAATATATTATGTAATTTAATTAATTCTGCTATTGAAATCATCCAACCTGTCAGAAATTTTATGTTGTAGCTTTTCTTAATGTTGTGCCATTGCTTTGTTGATGTATTAAATTTTTGTAAATTAACATTTTTAAAAAAATTAAACATATTGAATAAGAAATTATTTTGATATTCAGCATTTTTAAAAGGTAAGCAAAATCGTTTTGCCCCTTTAGGTTCTAATTCATCGTCAGATTCAACGTCGTCTTCTTGTGGCTTTATTTTCATTCGAGAATTAAATATATCAAATAAATTATCAATTTTGTCTATAAATTCTATTGTACTAGCAGCTGTATTTGGAAGTGATCCATCTGTCATGCATGTTGTCATTGCACAGACAACAGTTTTACTGAAAACTTGAGATGAAAATTTCACTTTCATCTTTTGAAATGGACCAGGATTCATATGTTTTTCTGTCAATTTAGGAGCTAGGCGATGAGTTCGTTGTGCATCAGAGTTGTAGAATTGTTTTAAATGTTTGCTCTCAATAATTTTGTCTTCAGAAACTAATCTATAGTTAAAAAAGTTATTTCTGGTTGATTTTAGTAAATGCGGAGGGTCAAACATGTATATAATTTCTTTTGTTCCGACTTTAAAATAAGGGTTTTCAGGTGTTACTCCCACATTATCAGCGAATGATTTAAAATTAGAACCCATATCAGATATCATGACTCTAACATTAAATGAAATACTAGTTAACTTTAAAATACACTTATATATTATGTTTTTTAGAGAAAAACCAGAGCAAGTTGAACCAACAAAATAGTACCCTATTGGCTGTTTCCACGTATCATGTATACCTCTCATCATCAAGACCATTACAGATTTTGCAACATCAGTGGTTTTATGTGTCTCTACATCATGGAATCCAATAACTTCATCTTTGGCATAATTATAGTAAAGAAAAGTTTTTAATGACATTTCATCAGCACATAATACGCAATCTCTTCCTTTTTTGTTCAATGTTTGTACTTTTAAAGAAAGTACTTTAAAAACAAAATCACTGAGTCCAACACCGATTTCCCAATTTTCTGTAGCCCTCTGCAAGGTTCTTAAACTTGGTAAACACCACACTTTTTTAAGAAACCGATAAGCCTTAGCACCATAAAAATGTACCATCAAAGCAAATTGTTTTTCTTCTGGTGTATACCTTCTACCTTTTGCTTTAACTGTACATAATCGAGCTTGATTTTTTATAAAACTACACATTGTTGGCTTACCAGCAAATAATGTGTCACATATATTGTTGAAGTCTGTCAACGTCACTGGTCCATCTAATCGGTCTTGTAAATTTGAATTAATGGTTTTGAGATTTGCACATTCTTTTAAAGCTGATTTCAATTTAATTTCAGTGTACTGTAATCTTTTTTTCAGTTTCATTTTTCTTGGTGTGTTTTGAGATAAAACTAGTCCTGTCTGAGTTTCAGAATCTGTAATAAAATATTTTTTGTTGATTACAATTTTAATTTAAATGTGTAGCTTATAGGTACCTAATACATATTTTTTTAATTTAGGAGATGTATATGATGTGATATAAACTACCTGAACAAGGTGTTGAACAACTTGATGTAGGCCTTGATGAAATATCTGATGTTGAATAATTCTTTGAACACTCAGGTAATGATTCTGGTGTTTTAGGAAATAATTCGACTGGACTTAAGAAAGAATCTAAAATCAAAAACTTAATTAAACACATGTTTTGAAAATTGTAATGTTTTAATATTTACTCTTACTGTTTGTAACATCAATATGTTTTAAAGGGTGAGGAGTAGAACATTGTGGTAGATCTACATTCTCACTGTTCATTTCAACAGAAGTGATAATTTTTGGAGCTGCATTTAATTTTAATCGGTTTGTGTTAAATAAATAACAAGCAGGATCAAAATGGTCAGAGCAGATTCTTTTTTGGGAAAGTCTAAATGTATCCTTTAAACCAGCGGTGGCCAACCTTTTTTTATATTGTGCCAAATAATAAATACAAAATTGAGAATGTGCCTTAAAAAATATTTATTGATTTCTATAAAATATAAATTTAAATTTTAGATTTTTTTATATAAGTAGATACAATTTTTATGACTGTTTAATATTAAATTTGTTTGGTGGATATTATTTCTTCATAATTTGGTTTAATTTTAGTTGAAGATATAAGCATTAAATTTTTTAAATGAGAATTCGTAAGTTTTGTTCTGTACTTATTTTTAATGAAAGTCATCCGAGAAAAACTCTTTTCACATATATATGTAGACCCAAATCTACAAACCAATTTCAACGCTAGACTAGTCAGTTCTGGAAAATCTTCCTCTGATACGCATTTCCAAAATTCTACAATATCAGGCAACTCTTTATATTTGCATTTTAAAACTGCTGAACTTTGAAGTTCAATAATTTCCAATTGCATGTTGGGGTTATATTTTTGGAGATCGTCTGTCGATATGATAAATGGATTAATAAATAAGTTATTTAAATCTTCTTCTTCTTTAAATCTACTGAATCTTTCTTGAAAACTAACAAATAGTGTTGAAATATGATTTTTAAAAATCGTCAAAGGAATATCTGTTGGTAGATAAATAGATTTTAATCGTACAAAATGATCCAAATTTCTCATTTCTAAATTACTTTCGAACAAACGAAGTCGAGACATGAAAGAATTTATAAAACCTACAAGGACTGGAAATAAATTTCCTTCACCTTGGAGTCGTTTATTGAGAATATTTAAATGTCCGAGAATATCAGTTAAAAATGCGAGGTCATTTAACCAATTTTTATCTCTCAGTAGCTTATATTCATCAGGCAATTCATTATTATTTTCTAAAAATTCTATAATTTCGTTTTTTATATTCCAAAATCTTTCTAGCGCTTTTCCTTTTGCAAGCCATCTTACTTCACAAAACAATAAAAGTTCACCGGATTCGTTAATAACGTCTTCAAATAGAGTTCTGAATAATCGATGATTTAAAGGCCGAGCTTTTATCTTGTTAATACATCGAGATACTGGTTTTAATATATGATCAAATTTTAAGACTTTGGCACATAAGGATTCTAAGTGTATAATACAGTGATATTTATTTAACTTTCTATTCAAAAATTCCTCCAATAAGGTTACACAACCGATATTTTTACCTATCATACATGGAGCGCCGTCTGTGCATACACTTTCAAGTTTTGACCAAATTAAATCGTCATTTTTTAATAACAAAGTTTCGACACAACATTTTAGTTTATTAAATATATTTATACCTTTTGTCGATGTTTCAAGTGCTTCAAGTCCTAAAAGTTCTTCTGTCACTTCAAACTTGGAATTTACACTTCGAATAAATATACATAATTGTGGATTGTCCGTAATATCACAGCTTTCATCAAGTGCAAGAGAAAAATATTTGGAATTGGTAGTATTACACGAAATTTGTTTTGAAATATTTGAGGAAATTTCATCAATTCTTCTCATAATTGTATTACGGGATAAAGAAATGTAATTTACGTATGCAGAAATTTTTGAATCATTTGCATTTTTTGCAAAAATGTCTAAACTTTTTTTAATGATTTCGCCATCAGAATAAGGTTTTCCACACTTAGCTAGCAAAAATGCGATTTCATAAGAAGTTAATACCATGTCTTTTTTTTCATTTGATTGTTTAGTAAAAATTGATTGCTGAGTTAACAATGAGTTTGTCTTTTTTGTAATATATTCTGTCCTCTTTACAGAACCTTCGGGGTATTTTTCAATAATATCATTGTGATTATTATAGTGCCGTTGAACATTGAACTTTTTTGGAACTGCAATTACAGAGTTACATACTAAACATGTTGGCCTAGAATTTTTCCCTTTAACGCATAAAAATTTTTCTATCCATTCTGTATTAAAAGTACGCGAAGAAATATCATCTTTATAACTTCGTTTTACGCCTAAACCCGAAGTACCTGGTTTATTAGTTGCCATTTTAAGATCATACACACACTCAACGACGCAGACTACTCGTAACGCACGGCGATTATAATACGACTACAGACTAGCTTTATTTTAGTAATCTGGTATACTCTTAGAAATGTTATTGTATCATATCATAACAGTTCTCGTATCGGAATAATAACCGGGAAATTCCACTGCGATAGTAAAAATCTAATTTAATGATATTTTTTTTAGAAACGTTCGGCGCAAACAAGAAATATTTAAAATCATATCTGACGTTAGTGTGCCATTCAATAACAACAAATGTGCCACAATGGCACGCGTGCCGCAGTTTGGCCACCCCTGCTTTAAACCAATATTATGAATCCAAGTATTACAACTATAATTTAAATAAACATTTCAATTAGAAATAAAACAAAATAATAATATGGTATAATAGTATAAACTAGAGCTAATGGCATGCTCGTTTTTTTTTTCTTAATGTGTGTTTAAAACAAAATTGGGAAAAAAAAATATTATCTAGATAATTATTTGAATAAAAATTGATCAATATTCTTATATTAATAGTGGTCTTACATTTTAAGTGAATAGTGAATACAAACATATACAAACATACGTGTACACGCGAATGTAACAAAATAAAACACGTATGATTAATATACGTCAATTTAATAAATGCAAATTGCTAAAACACGTGAACCCTTAAAAATCGTAATCACGTGAATAATTTTAATTTGTATTATTTACAGTAGGTAACACGAATAAATTATTCGATAACAAACCCGTTTTTTTAAAACGAAATCGAAACATTTTACAAAAAAGTAGTTAATAAAAAATAATAAACAAACGAAACTCGCCAATTTTTTCTCGATAATAAATTAAATAGATACCTAAATATAATAAATATTTAATTTATTTTTTTAATACATTATATAGAATATGAAATATGTAATGATGTAAAAAAAAAAATGTAATTCTATTGAACGAATTCCTCTATATTACGATTTTGTTTGTCCCTTTCTGTGACTTTGTTATATTATGGAAGTTTCATTATATTTATTATTTATATCATAATAAATTAATATTAATTTTACAAAAAGAAACAATTGTCAACTAACGATCTTTTTCCTACAAATAAAAATATATAAGAAATGGGTCTTATAAATCAAACCTTAATATGAAGTACTCAGATTTTCAAAAATCAATCGTAAAAAAAAAAACAGTTAGGTATTTTTATTAAGGGTTCCTCGAATTATAATTACTATATGATAATAGTATTTATTTTAATTCAGTACCTTAAAACACATGTTTAAAAAATAAACAAACACTGGAGTTAACCTGCATTACGTAACGAAATGCAGAATAATGTAACATAATGGTTCAACTAATTTAAATATACTTACAGGTTTTCATCTTTAGGAAAACGATGAAATGTTACTTTGTGTTGACCTTCCTTATTTTTGCAAATAACACAAGTGTTCGGTATTTTGTAAAATTACAAAAAACAAGATAAAAAATAATTGCAAAAAAACACGTGTAAATAATCAAAAGGCGTAAAAAACAACCGTTCAGACCAGAGTACAAGACATGTGTCATCGAAATCGAATACCGCAGTTCGCAATGTTGACAAAACAAACAATTAAATTTTTTAGTTAACAGTGTGACCCATAAACATAAAAGACGGGGCGTATTGGTGGCGCTCCTGGCAAAAAATGTTGAATGCGCCCTCCTAAAAAAAAAATTTCAAGGAAGAGGGGTTATACAAATCTTATTAAGTGGTAATATGCAGTGACCTTTTTTTTTTAAAAATTGGCGGGCTGATCTCGAGCAATGCATTTCGATGTTAAAAGTGTTCGTAACATCATGTCTTACCGCCAAGCTTACAACATCATTCTTGTCGCTCCGAAATAAAGAAAATAAAAGTGGAGGGGTGAGTGTCGCTTCTATAGTGTTCTATGTTCAGCATCTATGATAAATTTATTCATATTATCTTCAATAACAAGTTAGCACGTTGTATAACACACCAAAACTGTATATATTATACTTTAAAATGTAATAAAGATCTATAATATACTTACTTTTAGTAGATTATGTTGATTCTAATAAATAAAAACATATTTTGATCAACGACCGAAAAAATCGTCGAATTCAAAATTGAATGTAAATTAAATGATAACTCAACGACAAATGATACAAAACAAGTTCTGATAACACAGAATTAAAGTCAAAGACGCTTTAAATATTAACAACCAATCACTAAACAGATATCATTCGATTTAAATGTTTCCAACCATTATCAAAAAAAAAAAAATTATAAAATATTATTGTTCCGCAGTGGTCATTGGGATAATAATTTCCCGTTTTTTTTTAGAACATTTATCTAAATACCTTCTAATAATAGTTATCGATGATAATGGTCAAAATAGGTTGGAAAACACACATTTAAACTAAATATATCTGTGGGATATTATTTCCCACTAACCACAGGGCTACAGAATTTTTGTAATGTGATGGGAAATTATTTCCCTATAGCCACTAAACTTACCAGAATAACTTTTTTTTCGATGAAAGCTATTTATCTTTATTTATTTCTCCTGATTGATCTCCAGATTTTTTCAACTCTTCTATTAGTAATTGTTTTATAATACTTAAATCACAATTATTCAAACAATATGCTTTATATCTGGGATCTAAAAACAATGCTAATTGATACAATTGTTTTGTTTTAAAGTTTTCAAAGTAGCGTTTAGATAATTTGTTAAATATAGTATCTGTTATTAAGAGTTGTATGTGATTGAGTGCTTGCAATAGTTCTATACTTTAAGTTTCATCTGTATCACCATCTTCTTCGGTATCATAATTTATTTGAGAAAAAAAAAATAGAAGATTCTCCTAGCAATATATTTTTATCAAAATGAATGTCTTCAGTGTTGTAAAATAGTTGAACACTATCCGTTTCTAAACTAGCACTTTGTATGGAATTATGTATTATATTTTCTGTTTTATTTAAATTTAATTTTAGTTGCTCATATACTAGCCATAATCCTGAAATGGTAACATAAGTTTCTGATGCTAAAGCTTCACCCAGTTGTTTTAAAGATTCCATTATATGTTATATACGTTCAATTAACTTCAACTGGTTAAAAGTGGGTAAAATTTATTGCTGTTTAGTGCATATTAAAATTTTTTTTTCAACGCTTCATTCTGTGTATTTAAAAATTTTAAACATGGAAGTAGTGACCACCAACGAGTGTCTGACGAAGACGGTATAACTAGAGGAGGAAGATCTAAATTTCTCTGTTCATTTAATAATACACGTTTCATTTTGGAACTGTAGTGGAAAACAGATCTTACTTTTACTGCATTTACAGTACAATATTTAACAGATTGTAAGGAAAACGTATTTGTAACACCAGTATTTAAAACATGGCCAAAGCAAGGAACATGGTTAAATGACATTAGTTCAACATCTTTTAAAATATTTGATCCACAATATGTGGTGATACCCGCGATCTCAGATTCGTCAATATTCCAGTCATGTAATATTTGTTTAATACTATTTTTAAAATTAAAACTATTATGATCGATATTCAAAGAAGTGCGTGCCAAACAAAAATTTTCAAATTCCCATTCCTCATTTATAAATATGGGCTGGTAATCCAATAAATGGATGACCATTTCCTCATGTCTAACAATCAGTTGTGAGGGAAATATACAATACACCTTTTAATTTTTCCTTAATGCAATTTTTTACGTCTTCGTATAATTGAGGAATTTTATGGTCAGAATAATATTTTGGGCTAGGAGGTTCAAAACTAGGACAGAGGACGGAAAGTAAATGTTTAAATTCTTTTTTTTCTACAAAATTATATGGTTGCATGTCTGCACACATCCAAACGGCAATGGCATGCTTATATTTTTCAATTGTTTTTTTTATCGAGTGGATGATATACTTTTAGTTTACTTTGTTTAAAAATGCCTAAATAAAAAAAAATATACGTTTTATATTAGGTAACTGTGCAATAATTTCTTAAGATTTTAAAATTCAAATGAACGACAATTATTTAATATAATATTATAATTTATAACGATGAAAATAAAAAATAAATTAAATTGTTTTTAAGAGATAATAAATATGCACTTTTCTCCTAAAATTGACCGAATATGCAAAATATGCATTTTAAATTAAACATTTTTAAACTCATCCTTGTACATATATCTCGGATTTCTAGTTTGGTCTGCTATGAATCGAAAGTAGGATTTGGAACGATATGCACAACTTCCTAGCTCTACTTATTACATACACTTAGATAACAATAATTTTGGCTAACTACGAATTTACAATTGATTGTATTATAAGTGTGTTTTTGTAAAAAAAAAAAACCCATACTGTATTAAAGTACAATACGTATGTCATAAATAAATGGTAGATGATAAAACAAAAATAAACCACTCATCATATTATAAGTAACAACGTAAAAATCAACAATGAAACAATGATAATCTTTTTGATTATTGTTGACTTGTTTTTTTTTTTTTTTTTTTTTTTTTTTTAAATTTATTATTGTTATTTAATATTCTCTTTTATAGTATGGTTTTAACCTTCTAACATGCACGGTATCGATAATTTCTTTGTTATTCTAAATTAATTTTATTTTGTAATTAAGTTCATTGACCTTATCTATAATTTTAAATGGCCCTCTATATATTATATAGGTCCTAATTTGGGAGACTTACCTACTTCTAAAAATGGAAACTTGACCATAACTAAATCATTTATGTTGTAATTTATTGTTGTATGAGTTTTGTTATGGTATTTTTTTTTTTGTATTAGTTGAGCTTCGTGAATCCGTTGAGGTATTTTGTTTCTTATTTCATTTAGTTCTATTAGAGATTGTTTTAATTGATATGGGATGTCTTCGGGTATAATTTTATTGTCTATTAAAAATGTAGGTTCGAAACCATGCATAAGATAGAACGGACTGTATTTGGTAGTGGTTTGAGGTGTAGCATTATATGCTAGTGTTATA